CTTTGCTCTAATTGTGTTGGAGTATCAAGCAAGATTTGGAAATACTAGCAGAGGAGTGCCTAGTTGTTTTTCCTAAATGCACAATGAATTCACCAAGTTACTCTTGAATAAAGATGAGAAATGCATTAATAATAATAATAATGATAATAATAATTGCTTACACTTATATAGCGCTTTTCTGGACACTCCACTCAAAGTGCTTTACAGGTAATGGGGACTCCCCTCCACCACCACCAATGTGCAACATCCACCTGGAAATTATACTAGTTTATGTTACTAATCATACTAGTTCCAACTAGATAATTGGAAGTGACACTCCATTATTGTGGATTCCATGTCTGACTTAGCTTACAACTACCAGCTCACCTTAAAAATCTATACGTGCAAAACACAAAATGGCAAATGTGGAGACACAACCTTTCATGGCCTTAGTGCAGAACATCTGGAGAAAAAATCTACAAGTATTGGAGATTGTTGTGGTCAGAGCTGGCAGTGCCAGTGGTTCATCTGATAAGTATTCAAGACTCTAAACAAAGATAAAGAATGAAAACTCTTCCTGACTATGCTTTGCAGTTTTCTGCACTGGCTTAATTGTGCTGGCTCTTGCACTGCTTAAAGCTGTAGTCAGTGCAATCTTTTCGCTACCTTAGTACATCTCTGGGTGATTCTTACTTCACACTTTGAAAAACATGACAAAATCCTGACTGGAGAGAAGTCTGCCTCTCCATGGCCCGAAAGAGCAGATGTGAGTCAGACTTTGCAATGTGGCTGCAAAGCTGTTTAGGATTCTTCTGAATGAAATAGCTGACAATATTGGAAACCCTTTAAAGAAGCTTAAGGTCAGACATGCTGGTAAAGCACTGCTATGGCCAAAATGGAAACTGCAGTTCTGAATACAGATGCTGAGAGTTAATTCTACTAGTAAATCTCTTCTAGCAAATACAGAGTGATTTGTGCTTCCTTCTCATTCTGTATGGCTCAATAGTGACCTGATTGAACAAGTCAGAATAACTTTGAAACTTTGCAAAGCAAGATGAAGACATTAACAGGTACAAAACACTATAAAACAGTCCAGGAAAACTGGAAGAGAATTTTTGGGAATCACTATGTCCTAATGTTCAAGAGCACCTTTTAATTTTGAAGCCCATAATACCATTTCCAAGCCAGAGTCTTGATGTGCAATTGTAGAAATATAATCAAACCTAGTAAGAACTAGCCAAGAAATTACTATGCCTAACTACTTAATTTAATGGATATCCTTGAAGTACTGTGGAAAATCTTAAATATCGCCCACAGGACTTGGAAAAGAGGTTTCCTGGTTTCCATTTCTTTCAGTTTACCATACTGTTGCCGAGTCATTGAGATATCATCTGGTGCAATCCCAGATCTGTAGGCACTTCAGAGGGTTAGGAAAGATTTCCAGATATGCACATGTGATTGCTCCTGGACAGAAGAGATGTTTTCCCTTTTTTTCTTGTGTGTCAAGAAACACCTATGAGTTGCAAGAAAGTGCAAGAAAAACAGAACTGCATCATTACTCTTTTGAGGACATTATTAAGGAGAACATCTATTTTAATTCCAATACAAGACAATCTACTAGTGATTTTTAATCTATTACATTTTTGTAAAAACTAATTTTCTGACTAGTTAGAAAAATAGCTAATGCAAAAATTGTTTGACTATTCCTGATTATTTTGCTATTTCCTAGAGATATTATTTCCAGGTATGTGATCCTCTTGTTTAGTTGTTACTATTGTTTCAAGTACATAATAAGAGATAGAAGGCAGACATATTGGTTTATAATTACTTGGTTCAGTTTTCTCAACCTTTTTATGGCAGGGCTACTATGTTAGCAATTCCCCAGTCCCTGAATGACTGTTGGAAGAGTTGTATCAATGGCTTCTAAGTAACGTCTCTCATTTCCATCAGTGCGATTGGTACTGTACAATACCATCAGACCCTGTTATTTTATTTAGCTTGACTGCTTTCTAGTACCTCTAACACTTCCCCATTTCTTCAACAATGCTCTGTATTTCTTGCATGATTGTGTATATGTGCAAGTATTCACATCTAACCTATGTATTATAGAAGTGTGGGCAGCTTTTTAATAACATAAATATAGGGGCCCTTTTGTGTAGGATCCCATTACCCAATGAGGCCTTGACTTGGCTCTTCTAGGAAGCTCATAGCACATGCTGTCAGATCTTGTACTTTGGGACCTGGGCACTGTTTCATGCATCCCTTCCCAGATCATGTTAGAACACAGACACTGCAGTTATACTGGAGTGGAGAGAATTAATCGATGAATTAAATAAATAACAAGGCATGCAAGCTAACTGATGGTGAAGTAATGACTTTATAGCCAGGATTAATTCAATGTGATTATAGACGTTTCATGTTAGCTGAAAGTGCAATATGGTTGTTAGTGAAAAAAGACACTTGTGAAAAAAACATTGAATGAAGTAGGTAGAACTGATGTGAAAATAAAATATCAGTTTGCATGACACATAGAAATAAAGCAGTGCTGCGCCTGTGAATGAGACACTGGTATGTCTGGGGACTTTATAAGAAATATCTACTCTTTTGTGCGGTGTGTCCCTATAGACTAAGATCAATTTGGATTTTTCCACGGCTCCATGTAAATGTGACATGGACTGTCATTCATTGGCAGTAGGAACAATCCCGAGATATAAATGCTTCTTCTCTAGGAGGCAGGGGATGTCTTCCCCAGTTGTTGGCTGTCAAGACTTTAACTGTCTACAAGTATGTTTGCAGGCCCAGACACTCCTGCTGAGTACAGCTGCATGCCTCTCTCTCCTCCACCCTAGCATTGCCATTAAAAAAGAACACTCACTGCCTTTCTTCCTTCCTACTCTTACAGTGCTGTATTATAATGAGCAGCCTTGTCACAGAGGTAATGTGCATCTAGCTCTACAAAACCACTCTCTTCAAAGCCAATTCCAAAGCTTGTATTCCAAATGTCTTGACTTTATTATACTGTGTCTAAAAGACAATTGAAGGAAAAAACATGGGCTCCGGTCTCCTTTAACTTCTCTTTCGGAACTTGCCAGAAAGTTAAAAAGAAAGGAAACATCTAAATTCAGAACTGACCTTGAAGAACCCAGTTGTGTCAAAGAATGGGCTGTATACAACTTTGTTTCTGAAAACCTGACTTTGTCGGTTGTGCAGGGCCTGATGTAGACACACATGCACATAAACCAACACTTGTCTACCAAATGAGTAGAAATTGTCGTGGGAGAAATAAACAGGATTTGTCGCAGGGCTCCTTTTGTGCCATGGTAGGGCTATGAGATGCAGTTCTTCAGCTGAGTATTTTTGTCCATGTTCCCCCAACAGAAAAGACATTACCAGCTGCACACCGTTATCACAGGACTGTTCTTGCACCTGTAAAAGCCAGGTGCCACCTACCAGTACAACTAAAGTCCATTTTATGTAATTAATCTAAATGAGCACACCTGCATCCAAGCGTAACTGTTCCAGCTCAGGCCTGAAGCTACTGTGGTTTTGGAGGTTTTGTCATCTCAGGTGTCAATTCTAACTGTTAAAAACATGGTCCATATTTTACATTACAGCAATAAGTGTAAGCAATTCATGTACTGTAGTTAACCAGACAAATATTTCTGTCATAGAGGAATGGTTAACCTGCTGCTGGATACTACATATTGCATAAAGGTTAAGATAGCAGCTGTCCCGTAGCGTAGGCAAAAAAGTTATTGTATTTCTATAGATGGTGATGTGGCCAAATTTCAACGTTTAAAGATTTCTCTTAAGACCAGATGCAGATCTGAAGTTTGCATTCAAATATAAAATACAACAATATGACTATGTTAATTAATTTTTTATTCCTCTGTGATGTCCTTTAATGAGTCTATAAGCTCTGTAATTTATATTGTTTTTCCAGGGAAACTGCTAAGGGGTTTTAAATATTCTTGTGTTCATTGTATAGATCTAAAAATATATACTACAGTAATGCCAAAAGGTAGAATAGCTAAAGGCAAAATTTACATCATAGTGTGAATTAACAGCATTTTTAAAGTATTAAACATATGCCTAAAGTGTGCACATGGTTTAGTTTTTCTGTGTTCAGTGATCCGGGATGTAAATAAGAATGCTGTTCACGATTAACAGATGAACCAGAGTTCAAGTGAAGACACAGAACAAACAAAAACAGAATCTAGGAAGTATTAAGTATAAAATGCAACAGACTGAGTTGATTAAAGTGTGGTCCTTTAAGTTTCATTTCAGACATATTGTTCCATTTCTTTCAATAATTCAACTTATTTTGTGTTGATTTTTCACATAGTTTCTTACAAAAATGAAGCAATGTTGTATTGTAGTTGGATAAACAGGCTTCTGCATCAGGTAGTGATCAAAGACAAATTTCAAGAGCACAGTCCAAATTCTTACACAAACCTCCTTGCAATCTTTGTTATCTGGTTCAAATTGCACCTTATAATTCACTGTGCATCACCTTCACAGGTTAATTAAAAATGGAAAGAACTTTTTACATGCTCAGCTTAATGGATGGCCCGGTGCTACTGATAGTCAAGACCTATAGCCTTCGGATGTGATATTTTGTTAAGGAACCACTGCATGAGAACTATCCTTTTAAATTGAAAGTCGTTATACTTACTGTATTTATTATCCTATTCTGTCTGAATGAACTGTAGACACTTTATAGAGCTCTCTGAGTCATGGCTATGGAGTTCTTTTAAACATTTGCACGATTTTTTTAACAAACTCATCATTGAAGCATTTTGTAACGTGCAGTCTGATCATTGGAGAATTTGCCATTTGAGTAGTGTGCCATCCTTTTTGTTCAGTCACTTATAAACACTCATTAAGGTACTGCGTTGCTGGCACTGTCTCTCTCTAGCTAGCACTACCACAGTTAATGAAGGCATCTGTGTGGACAGGGGAGGTAGTGGCAAAGAAGCAATCTGATTTTTTCCCCCATGTTCTCTTTCTTCCACCCACAGGTTTCCTGACAGGCTTGGGAAAGAGGAAGGAGATCATTATCCCGGCAGCATTGCGTCTCCACTTAAATGTACCTCAGCTCAATCCCACCCCTCTGTGGAGCTCATCGTCTGTCCTTGGCATCATTCACTCACCTCACATCCAGCCAGAGATGACCTCCCTCCCCCGTCCATCCTGCGCTCTCAGCAGGCAGACACGTTGCACTTCTGCAGCCAGCGAGCCCAGGAACACTCCTTCAGCTCTTGTGGACTGAAATGCCTGTGGACTTAGAGGATCGGGATCCAGACTCTCCACGTTCCCTCTCACACTCCCTCTCTCCTCCTTGGCACCTGTTGGGAGCAGAAAGTTATCGTCAAAACCTTTAGGGAAGATCTTGGTGTTCATCTGTGCTATTTTGTTCCAAGAAGAGCATTTGTCCTCAGTCCACAGCTTTATATGTGATTGTTTCGTTTTTCAAGGAAAATGGGGGATAAAGAATATGTATAAAAAAGCTTATGTGACCAAGAGGAGGCTGTGAGGAAACACGGTCGTTTGTTGAGAGGAGAGACAGAAGCAGAATGAAAATGCTGACCCTGCCGATCTCCAGGAACTGAAAATCCCATGTAACCATGGCCTGGAGCTCCAGGGGTCTGGAGTTCACTGAGGAGAGAAGAGGACAGACTGGCAGCTATCCTGCTGATGGAGCACATTTTGTGGGGAGAGGGAGGACACAGATGCTGAGCACTGGAACAGCTGTAATTATTCATAGAAGGTCACCCATACATGAACAGAGCCAGAGCCAAACTGCCATAGATGTAGACCTTACAGTGACCCCTGCCTCCCCTGCTCCACTCTCGTTCGGCTTTTCTTTGGGGTTAATTTCTTCTTTGGTTCATAAAAACATAAATTCAGTGGAGACAGAAATATGTGTTTATGTGTGTGTGTGAGATCACAAAGGTCCTAAACACCATGTGAACAGAGAGATCACAACTGTGTTTCTGAATAGATACACCTGTCTTTTCCCCCTCAAAAGCCTTCCAACTCACTTCTGCTCACAGTCACACTCACTGGCACATACATCAATGCATCTTGATTTTTCTCTGCACTGCCTCTGCAGGGTGGTTAAGGCTGCAGACCGCTGGGAAAGCATGCTTGAGAGAAGATTTCTCTCCACTCCACAGTATCATATTTCTCTCATGTGAACAGGGTGGTTTTCGTAGCCATGGGTGCTATTGTAGCTGATGGGTCGATATCACACTGCATTAACATAGCAGAACATTTCTGATATTTACTCTATTCCAGCCTGGACTGAAACGAGAAAAGGACCTCATTTCCTGAGGAGCAAGGCTTGTAATAGTAATGTCCTTAGCATTGGTTGGTGGTGGCTGCAGCTTTGATAAAAATCAAAGGCTCTGCGATCCTGAAAGATCCTCCCCTGTGTCTTCTTATGAAGAATTTGCAAGGCTTCTATAGTTGGCTCTTGCTGCCCTCTCTACACTTGTGGAATAAAGCTCTAATAGAAATTGAGGTATCATGGAAGGCCCTTTAGGGGGAAAGAAGCTATGCACAAAGAGATTCGTGGAGAAGCTCTGTGATTTCATTCTAAAGAGATATGTATTCCCATCTGATGGTGGTTCTGAGGATTTGTAATTTTCATTTTCATGCAATTGAAAGTTACCAAATATACATTGAGAAAACCAATGTATATGCTGTAGCCTCCCATGAGAGTAATGTGAGTAAATGTTTATCCCACTGTATCGTTGGCTTCAGTGGCCCCCTTTTAAGGACAATCTGTTGCCTATTTTTAACACTTGATAAGAAGAGGAAGCAGCAGCTTCTTAATCAGAGGCAGGCTTAAGATACCCAACAGGTGTAAAGTGAGGCTGACCTTTTGTATATGGCATACCCCTTGATTATGAATCAATGACCAAAAAAATCATTCATTCATGAAACTTAATGTACATAGTCAGTGTTTGGAAGGTATTGCAGTATAACAAGGGTGATTTTTTTACATCTTTTTGGTGATAATGGAAAAATACAGAACACCTCCCAGAGAACAGAACAGATCCCAGAGTAAAATTGACCTAGAGGGAAAATGGTTGAGATTTCTACCATAATTTTAATACCATTCTTCTGAGTTTCATCTATCAGGACATAAAGAGTAATCTTTTCCTGAAATTATTTAGTAACGCATAGGAATGTCAGTTTTTGCATTTTTGTTCAGATGAGTAGATCATGAAGGCATGAGGGGAGTCAGGGTTCTGAACGTGTGGGCTATTTTTATCCAGTGAGCACCTCTCTGGAGGTGGACTCCCATTTCTCTTGAGGTTCAACCGGGTTGATGCTAGCTCATCTTGTAAGAGCAGTATTAAACACAGGAGGTGCTTCATAACATTGATACCAGTTACAGAGAAGCTATAAGTTTGTGGTGTGGTTATAGGGGTATGGAGCCACTTTCTGGGGACTGCAATGTGAAAATGGGTGCAGGATTCTTTCATTCTGTATTTGCCAATGTGTTAACCTCTTTGTAGGCAATGCTACCAGACACCAGCTATTAAAGCTGGGGTGCTGCCAAGGAATCTATTGTTCTCACATCTGGAGAAAAACACAGAGCCCTGACGTATTAAAATGAGTAGTCTTAACATGATACAGCTGTGCTAAATACCAAGCACAAAGAGGAGCAGGCTCAAACACTTAAGCATCTGTTAGTTTGGAACAGCTTATAATGGAGAGCTTGGCATAGATGGTTCATAGTTAGATTATGTGCTCAAATGTAATGTGAGGAAATTTAATGATATTGTGGAAGTGCTCATTTTATTAGTGCAGGGCTCTGTGTAGATATAAATATTCTGTAATCTCATGTTTTCTGTTTATTTTTTACTATTTCAATAAAACACCCACCAAAGCTACCAATAGCACTCACAAAATAAATACCTACTCTTGGTTTCTGCACTTGAAAAATGCTTGTTCATGTACTTAAAGAAATATTCCAAACTTGTAAATAGATATAAAAACAGCGGTTTTCTATGTTGTACCGTTAGTGCCAACTGCAGTTACCTTCTCTATATTCATTCTATTTAACATGTTTCCAGAGCTGACAGCTGTGGTTTTAGTAGAGACAACTCATGCTGTTCCAGTTATAAAGTTATAACTTTATTAAATATACATTTACAAAAAGGTTATTAAGGGGAGACTGATTATTGGAATGGGAAGAGAAAGTGTGTGTGCAATGTCACAACATAACCACATTGCAAAATAACAAAATTAACATTACATCTGTAGTCTTTGTAAAATAAACACAGCATACGATAGATTCTAACAGTACTTTTAGAAGAGTGTGTGATTAATTTATTTATTAACTATAAAAAAAGGAATATCAAATGAAAATCTGGTCAAAACACCCACTGGCAATGCAAAAAAAAACAAAGAACAAATGTGACCCGTTTTAGTCAAGGAATACCGAGAGCATCATAGCACACATTTTCTTGGCTTTACTGGCACAGCTTGGTAAAACTGTAATAACCAGACGACAAGCTCAAAACAAACGGATAGTTACACACAACTGTCATGGCTATATACAGATATTTACAATTCTGCAAGCACTAGAGCATTTTCTTCAATAGGCATGGAGAATACGGAATTCTATCCTGACATTGAGAAACAAAATGGCTTAAAAATGAAGGGCATATGCACCCTAACACACAGGCATCTGGCACAAAACTAACTCTCTAGAGTGGATGCTAAACAAGTGTGAACTTATTTCCCTTCACTTATGAGCCCAGTTTTTATCAGGTGCTCAAATTATCTGCACAAGTTTTGGTTTCATTGCCTGTACTGTGAGAGAGAAATCTCATAATATGAAATAATTATTGTACTGTATGTGCAGTTTATCATGACTTTTGGCCTACTTTGTCCTATGCTGAAAAGAGAAGAAAAGAAACAACGTTTCGGCTGTGGAACCTTCTTCGGGTGTCCTTTAGGAATGATATTATACAGTAACTACGGCATCTGTAAAGGAATAGGGAGTGGTTACAGATCTCTGTGAAGAGATGAAATGTCACTTTGGTGAGATAAGGGAGCAAGCAGCCCAGGGAGGAGGAGAAGGAATGATGACGAGATCTAGAAAACTATTTAGCGGAAGGCATAGTGGGTCACAGCAGAAGTGGGCTGAAGTACTTCAGGTGAAGAAGGCTCCACAGCCTAAAACGTTGTGTTTCCTTTCTTCTCTTTTCAGCATGGAAAGAACCTTAACTTGTTTCTTTGCAGCCTACACATGCTGATGCAGCTACCTACTTGAACTACTTTGTCCTATGACCCCTGCCCAGTGAAGTTTGGTTTAATGACATCATTGTTACATTTTCATGTTCCAAGATTTCAGACTTAAGGGTTTAACAAAAGAGGTTTAGCTTGAGTTAAGGATTAGTACTAGTATTTGAGACCAGACTCTGGCTGCTGGGACTAGCTTCGGGTGAGCTGATCACATAAGTCTGTTTGAAATACTTAAACAATGCCAATTGTAACATCCTTTTAGAGTGGGGTGCTTTTCTTTGGTACTTCAAACATCCTTCTAACACCTAATATTCTGCTAGGAATATACTGTAGGTTATTGGTAAAGATGACTAATTAATTGGTTAATAATTTCAAATACAAGTGTATATACACATACACTTAGGAACAAGTAATAGGTTTATTCCATGCTGAAAAAAAGAAGAAAGGAAAACACAACGTTTCGGCCTTGGAGCCTTCTTCAGGTGTGAGAGAGACAGGGCAGTAGGCAAAGGTAAAGTAGCGGGAGAACAAAGGTTGGGAGGGAGGAGGAGTGAGAGGTGGGAGCAGGGGACAGAAAGAGAGGCCAATCAAGAGGTGTGAAGTCAGAATGGGTGCAGAGAGGTGTGAAATGAAACTTCCAATGAGTGGAGAAAATTTAAAAGAACAGTAATCTGTCGTTAAGGGAAGGGAGAATGCCCTGCTGCCCTGTCTCTCTCACACCTGAAGAAGGCTCCACGGCCGAAACGTTGTGTTCTCTTTCTTCTTTTTTTCAGCATGGAATAAACCTATTACTTGTTCCTTTGCAGCCTACGCATGCTGACGCAGCTACCCACCTGAACTACACATACACTTATACAATATATTTGTTATGTTATCCTTCCAGAAAAATTAAACAAACTGCACTATATTTGTCAAGAACATTAATTAACAAATTACTGAGAATGTAAGGTTGAATTAGGAATTCAGTACTTTGCATGAAATCCAAACAAAGCTAGTAATAAACTAGTCAATCTGGTAATTGTTAGACACTATAATAGTAATTTACTTAAAATTAATAGTGGATGGGACATGATAAATACACCAGGACCTATGTAATTTATAAACATACTATAGCTCTCTTTGATTTAGAATATGTTGGCAAAAGACTTAACCAGGACACATCTATATTTGGCTCAACCTTCATGTTAGGGATGGATGATAATTTCATTACAATCACGATTATCAGTTAAGCAACTAAAATATGCAGTTTCTTTTGAGCATCAAATTTAAAGCTATTGCTACCTGAAGAGCATGAAAGTGACTTCTACAAGTCATTGAGTGCAGATGGAAAAAAAAAGTGAATATCTGCAAATTTCCAAGACTGTATGATTGCCACAGTATATGTTTTACAGTATGCACATGGAATGTGGATAACCAAAACAGCTCACAAATGCAGTTTTCTAACAAAGCTCCAGAGTTAAAACTGAGTGTCCTTCTGTTATGCCCCAATATCAATAAACATTAATGAGTACAGCGGCAGTTTCCATCTTTTTGATAACATTCCATAAGTACGATTAGAAATGTTTTTGCAATCCTCCCATGGCCAAAAGAGATACTATACCTGTACATGCATTTGTCAGAAAGGGCTACCAGTACTTGAATATTTACCAACTGATTTACAAAACACCACCTTGTTCTCGTGACGCAGTGGACCAAAATCAATGATGGACGGTCGTCAGTAGTTGTATCTGTTTGGGTGACTGAAAGTAAAATTAGAAATAAAACTCGCCCACTTCAAAAAGCAAGGCTGTTTCATAGTAGATGTTTGTCCTCTTAAAACGGCAAGTGCATAGAAACATATTCAAGCCCAGACGAGCAGAACTGCTTGTCTCCCCACACCCATGAGTAATGCTATTACTGGGCCAATTACCATGCTGTTGATCTGATAAGGTTCTGGAGAAATGAAAGGCAATTAACCCATCTGCACACTGAACCACAGGTCATGCTTGTGTTCCACTAACACATTTTAGCAAAGGAGAAAAATTTACTAAAAGAAAATCAATGAAGTACAGTAAGTGTTTTACTTTCAAAGGAAAATTTGCAAAGACCAAATTATCCTGCAGGCAAAAGAAAAACGGTCAGTTTCAAGGGACAATTGTTACTCTCCTGGCACTGAATCACTACAAAGAGACTGAAAACGCAAAAGTTTGTTGGTTTTTCCTAATCAGTTTTGCTTTTTGGTACATTTGCCTACTGCTACCCTACTGTTCCCTCACCAGGTAAGTTCATAAACACATGTGGAAAAATTATTTAAAACTCTAAGTTATTATGGCACTGTATCCTCCAATCTGCAAGATCCAGCCACTCCTTCACATACCATTAAACCATTTCCAGAGGATAGGACCAGACCAGCTTTCTAAAAATGCATGTCTAAAACCGGGATTAACAGGCAAGTTGAAATTTACCTTCTTCAAGTTTCACTGTTATGAGTCAAACACCTTAAGAAAAGTCATTTTCTTCAAGCATGAAATTAGGTTAGCATAATGGCTCTACAGTAGAATGCTACATATTGAAGCTTTTTATACAGATGCTAATCAATCAAGGGTGATTCTGCCTTTTCAGCTGAAAAGGAGGTTTATGGTAATGTGATAAATACAAGAAACAAAATTCAAGGTGCTTTCTTTCACCTGCCATTCGTGGAGGTCAGGTGTGTCCCCCTCCAGAGCGACAGGTGAGGGTAGGTGTTATTTCTCAGCTCCAGTGGTTCTGTGGCCAAAAGCTGCTGAAAGAACACTAATTGCTAACATGCATATTTGCTGCCTGGCCGCCTGCTCTATTTCCCCCAATTAAAATGTGCACTGTAGTGCCACCCAGCTCCTGTCAGTGCAGATACGCAGATCACACATTACCATTCCTCCTAAGGGGAGTGCCATCTCAATTACTGGCTTTAATTGACAGCCACTCTAACCTTTTGGGGCTTACATTCGCATTGATGTCCTTGTCCCAAGGTTATACGCTGACACATAGGATGATTGGTTGAGTTTTTGTCTTACAGAGAAGACAGAGACCGTTTTCACCACTTAAAGTGACTTCTCAAATGAACCACTCAATCCTTCAGACTGGCATATTTGTATTTTTACCTTTTTAATTGTTTAATTTATTTGAAGTCAGACTATTTCCTTTCACTGGAGTTTTGAAGGTGGATGAGTGGTACAATTCCAGTCCTTTAATTTTTAAACAAGTTGAACTTTTCCTTCAAACAAAAAATGCAAAGAAATGAAATGAGAATTCTCATACCAAAATGGGGCAGTAGCTTTACAACCTGATTTTATCAGATTGCAGAAGCAAAGCAAGATTGAGAATGGGGAGTACTGGTGTTGGTGGTTGGGTAGGCGGAGCTGGTTTGACTGGACCAGTTTCCGAACTAACAATCCAGGATGGTGATCGGATGACACTTTTAAAAAAGCAGTTCCCAGCTCCTCAAGGGCAGCTATCAAGCTGATTTTATAAGTTTCTAAATCTCCAGCTTCCCAAGAAAAAGGAAAAGCTTCAACTTGTCCAATTAAGCAAAAAAGTTCAATTAAGTAATTAAAGTACTTGGATAAAAAGCCAGAAACCTGCAGGCCCTTCAGGACATGACTTGTGCACCACTGCTTTAAACTGGGTTCCTGACTTTCTGACTAAAGATCCCATGACACTGTTTGGAAGAGCAGAGATATTAACCTCCGTGTCCTGGTTAGATTTAAATTTGTGTTTGTTCATCTGCCCTACCTAAAGTATCCTCTTAAAGGGTGAAGCAATTTCTCACTACACCACTAAATCTGTTATGTCCTTAAGGGTCGCAACCTAATGTTTTCTAAGAATTTAAATCAGCAGCTCAAGAACTTTGAGAAAGAAAATATTGGTCAATGTAATTACATGTAGTTTAAATACA